AGGGGGGGGTTGAGCATGCGCAAAAATCGCCATTCTCCGAATGGCTGCCTGTACGCATGCTCCAACTGCTTAAAAAAAAAAAAACACCGACGCCCGCAGCGTGTGAGCGGGCGTCCAACGGAGGCATTCGCAAGATGGAGGGTGAGTCTGATCGCGTTTCTGCTGGCATAAACACTGTCTTATTAAAGGCTGAAGGTTCTTCCTAGGGCTGCCAAGCCACGGCGGGGGATCTGCACATCTTCACAGGATCCCTGCCGCGTGGGACAGCGATAGGCATTGCACCGCCATTGCCAGGATGTGATGCTACGCATCGCTCTGGCAACGAGGCTGTTTGGAGTCCTGTTGCCAGAGCGACGTGTAGCATCACATCCTGGCGATGGCGGTGCAACGCCTATCACTGTCCCCCGCGGCAGGGATCCTGTGATGACGTGCGGATCTCCCGCCGCGGCTTGGCAGCCCTAGTTCTTCCATTAAAAAAACAAATAAATCTAGAAACTACAGATGAACTTTGCATTTTTAAAATTACAATTCAGTTCCAATAATATCTCCTATGACATAGTCCAGTGTCACCTAGGACCCCAAAGTGGGAAGCCATGCCCCCCAGTGCCATTTTTTTAGTGTGGCACCACTGACATTAAGAGCTGGTAGAATATATGAGTGGATGTATCTCAATATAAGAATGACAGAGCAACTGTATTCATTCTACATCTCCAAAAGCCTGTGGAGCAAGTGCGGCAATTGTTTTAAAAGACCATGAGCCTGATTTTTTTAAAAAACCATCTCAATTGCATTTTGGAATCTTTAATTATTTTGGACACAATCAAACCTGTTGTTACCTAAAAAAAACCAACCCTGGCTGACTGACACTGATGAAAAAACTGAACTGCGGGGTTTCATTGATAAATTGCTAATTACCCACACAATCAATTACTTTTGTGATTTTTTTTAAAAAAACTCATCTCCTTTGGTGGTTTTTCAATTAAAGTAAAAAGCTTTCAGACAACTGGATTGCCTCCCTTGTATACTAGAGGCAGCGTTTTAGAGTTGAGGGGAAATGTTTGTCATGCACTTTCCCGACGGGAATGATGCAGAGGAGTTGCATCTGCAAGTTATTAAAAGTCACAGAGAGAGCCACATGCAAGAAGGCTGTAGAAGATGTCAAAATCGAAAGGAGGAGGAAGCACAGGAGCGTTTTAAAAATATAATAAGTTAGCAAGAAAGATGACTCACCACTAACAAGGCAAATAAAATGACTCCACAGCTCCAGACGTCTGCTTTTCTCCCATCATATTTTTCTCCCTACATAGTGTGGAAATAGGATGTTTAGATGAAGGTTGGTTAGAGAAACAATATAGGGTCCCTGCCACATGGCAGGGAAAACACCGGCCAAAGTGCGGCAAATTAGAGCCGCACCAAAATAGAGACGCCGCGGTGGGATCCCACGGATCCCCTTAGCTGCGGCGCCGTTGCTCCCTGGCACGATCAGATGCCGGGGAGGAAGCCACAGTCGGGAGGGGGAGGCTGCCGAACTGCGTATGCCTGAGCATGCGCAGTTTGGGCAGAAGCCAGGGATGCGCTGGCGAAAGGACGCACCGGCGATCCCACGGCTGGCTTTGATGCGGCCTTCTCGGATGAACCACCACGGTAGGTGGTTCATTTTTGCAGCGGGGTTTTGGGTGGAAGGGGCGGATCGGGAACAGGTGCAGCACGCTTCCCATATGTTGCTGTGGGATCGTGCCCATTTGCTGCGCCCCCGATCTGTCCCTCTACTGGCCCAAAACCTCTCGTGTGACCGGGGCCTAGGTATCCTTGAATTCATTTAGAGGGTATAATGGGAAACTTTTAATTGAATAATAAAAATGGGCTGGATCTCACCAATAACTTAGGTGCAAGCAGGGGGCAGAGATTTTTAGTGGTTTCCCCACCTTCCACTATAGACATCCAACTTATCTGCCCCCCAGAAGCAGTATCCGGGGGAAAGGCGCAGAAGTTGTGGTCTGCTGGTGGAAATCATTCCATCAGTGGAGATTTTGGGAAGTATCCAAGATGATGTATCGAACAAATCTCAAGTCTTGCACAAAACATACATAGAGGGGTTGCCACAGACCTTTTGCTTGCCTTCCCCTGTCTACGCAGAATCACAGAGCTACAATCACTGCCATGGGTGTGTGTGTGCGCATAGGAATAGGCACGCATGCACTGACCTTCTGCTCCAATGAGCTTGATGCTACAGTGTACAAACACCACACAGGCAAAAGAGATCCAGTGGGCTCTATGCCAGTCCCTTGGAATGGGCTTTGGTTCTGTGCCGGGATAGATCCCGCCCATTAATTTCAATAAAAGCCATTGTAGGATTGAAAGGAAATATGGGTTATGAGGGAAAATTTCAAGCCAGTTAGCTGCACGGGTGTTTTTGAATTGCACACATGATAGACCGCGGAAGAGGAATAATGTCTAAAACACTTTCATTATGAAGCCACGTACGTCCTTGTCTATGATCTGGAAGCTGTGAGGGAAGATGGACTGGAATGGGACGGGCAAGGAGAAAACTGAAGAATCAGCACATCATCTGAAATGTCAGAGTTGCCTTGAGAAATATCGAGGAGCTGTTTCTCTCTCAGTTGGTTTTTTTTTTAATGGAGCTTGGAATCAGTCATATTTGCCAGATCGTAACGTAAGCTGTCAATTCCTTGGTATTGGTTTTATGAAGCATAGCATCGCAATTCTTTGCCTCTACATCTGTAGACTGGAAACGATGCCTTTTTGTGTACTATGCCACCAGGGGCTACGAGGACATGCCCCCGAAGAAAGATCGATGCCTCCACCTTAATTGATGAGCAGCATGGAAAATCCTGTGCCGTCTTCCTCATGCGAAAGAGGTGTTGGTGACAGGAGGAACTCAGGACAAAAATCAAGTCAAAGCAGAAGGCTGTTTCTATGGCTGCTAGTTTCCCAAGTGAAGATCCTACTGCACATTTTATTCATTCGCTTATTTGCACTCTGGACATATTTTTTGTAAACCCTTTGCATTGAGAGGGAAGTGTGAAAAGAACAAATCCTCTTATAGGGGTATTCTGAGTCAACTAACTAGTTTGCTTTGCTTTGTGTAATAAGGATATTGGAATTTCAGGCTCACTCACCCTGATTACTTCCGGACAGGCATAATGCGGTGACCTGAAAAACAAAGCATGAGCCAGTGAGTACAGAATCCTGCCTTGTTTTTTATCTATTGCATATATGTCTTTTTAGAGCCAACTCTATCACTAGTCTCTCAGTACCACGTCCCATCTCCAACGTTAGATATAAAAATATAAATAAAAGTCACTATTCAATTGAGTATCTTTATACCTCTGTATGACAAGTGTCATAGATGCAACGAACATGAAATTGAACACACTTCAGAGGACGGCAGAAGACCGGAAGGCCTGGCGGGAGCTGGTCCATGGGGTCGCGAAGAGTCGGACTCGACTGTGCGACTGAACAACAACAATACCTCTGTACCCCTTCACTAACAGTGGAGGAAGGGTATCTGGGTGTTAAAACCCATGCTCCCTTACTAATGAGCAGCTGGATCATAAACAAAATTTGGCACCTTACAAAATTTGGGCTCACAGTTTTAAATGCGTACATTAGCAAGGTGCGGTGTGGATTCCTGTAAAAGTTGCGGAGGCAGAAAAACCACATAGCCTTATGACCTCCCGGGGCAATCAGCAACCAGGAGGGCCATGGTGCTGACATTTTTGCAGACCACGGGATCCAGACGTTAATACTGGGGTCCCACTGCGGGATGTGGGCACTCCCATGGCCCTGCTCTCTTTCTCCACTTAAGAGAGAAGGGTTTTTATCCCCCAAAATGAGCTTTCTTTTCAACTTTTTACTTAACTCAAAACTAATTGAAACTTTTTCTTACCCCCTCCTTTCTTTCCAAATTCCAAAGTTGTGATAGCTGGCCGGCTTGCTCTCTCCTCCCGCAAGATAACAGGAGAGACCCAAGGCCATTATTGTGGGAACAGCAGGCGTTGACATGGCAACCAGGTTGTTATTACTACTGAGCCGGCTATTGGTGTGCAGTTAGGAGGCCAAGAGCGAATTACTAAGCTCTGTAATCTCCAGTTCCTCCCGGAATGTCTCCCGGGAAAGGTTATATAAACTAAAACCTCCTCCATTTCATAGTTGCAAACAAATACATGGCTGCAACTAGGCTAAAGGTGATTCTTCCTTAAAATTAGCTGAGTTAAACAATATCAAAACCACAACCATGCACCCATTGACAGGTCCCCTTTTCTCTCCCTCCACACACTGTAATGCTTGACAAAAATTTTTTATCCCATTTTATTACAGTTTATAGCAGCTTTCTCTGGCTGTGACAACCCCCTAGAGTTCCAGATTCTCCAAGGAGTCCCCACCAGCAAGGAGCTGTCTTTTAAAGCCCAATTGTAATCATTCTTTTAACACCATTTAACATTAATAAAATTCCCAACTATACACTGCCAAATTAAACCAAACATCAATGAATGGATGGGAGGGTGCTTCTTTAAATTAGTCAAAAGGTGGGCTCTGTTCCCCCTTCCCTACAGGAAGAGGCAAGAGAATTGCTGAATTTAATCTTACAACTCTTTTAAAATGAATGGCTAAGTTTTTAACAACAAACTTTCTTTATACCAAATAAAATGAATGTCTACAGATGTAGAGCTACATCTGATTGCTCTATTTTCACATTACATTATGTCCAAAATCCAATCCTGGACTTTTTCAACCAGGCGGGCTCTTAACAGTGACTGCTCTCCAACAAGAAGGCAGCCCAAATTAATTAAGAATAATTAGGGAAACTTAACACTTCTTCTCACTGTTCTCCCCTATTACGTTCCAGAACTACAATTTGGCAAGAGCCTTGCACTCCTCCTGGCAGAGTAGCCAGAAGGAACCCAAGGCTGTCACCAGGGCAATGACTGTGGTGGCCTGGGGCAACCAAGATTACTACTGTTAAAACAATGCCTGTAGATGGAAACAAGCAGGTTGCTGGAAAAAGATTACAGGGAAGTTCCCGGAATCCCCCGGAAAACCTCCCATCTGAAACCTGGTTGAGGAAAACTCCTGGGTTTTCCCCAAGTTATCATTGCTGTTGATTTGAATATTACAACTCTGTTTAAAACAGGCATACTTATTTCTCAAATGTTAAACCACTAAATAAAAAGTTCTTCACCCTACCGTGTAAGGCTTTACAATTTTCAGGTTTAGAAAAAGGCTCAAAGCTTTTAACAGTCCACTCCCCCCCTCTCTCTCTGCGCCAGAGAGAGAGGCGAGGGCGGAGGGGTGAGAGAAAGACAAATTCTTAAATATGTTCTCTCCTGCAATCTCAAACACATTCTTAAGACAAACACCAGAGACATTTTCACAATTTTTTTTATCAAACTTGGTCATATTACATATGTGCCAGGATCGTAATAAGATCAGGGTACCCACAGATCAAATGGTCTGCAAGGGACCCTCCCCCCATGTCTCCAGCCAGGTGAAACTACCTGCAGCACGCTCCGCCCTTATGACAAGGGAGGTGTAGCTGGATTGGGTGGAGGCAGTCAGGGCAGCAAAGGGGAGAGGGCTGCATCCAGCCAAAATGTGCTACTACTGGACACTAAGGAATTAAGCACAAACTAAACAACCTAAAGCAACAAATGTTGTATGTGGATTTATCAGATCTGCAGACCACAGGAAAAAGGAAGAAAGTTGCTTCATGAGAAAGCCACACAGATAAGGCAGCGATACACAAAACCTATTGGACAACCAAAAAAACAAAATAAAATCACTGGTGATTCGAAGTGGGCTGCCGCTGCTGGATCACAAAAAGTTTAACACAAGGGTAAAAACAAGACAGGATAGCACAATTCAATTCTTATCTTAACTCTAATAATTAATCTTATACTAAATAATAATGGTGCATCATGTACATATTCTACAAACAAGGACAACTTATTCATATTTAGACCATACTGGAAACATGCACACAGGAATGGGACAAAGAGTGACTTGGAGAAACATAATAAACCATGCATTGGTGTTTTTGTGAACACAATGTCAGACGAGCCTTCAGCTTCTGGAGAGAGTGTTATTGCTCACTCTTCCATCGAAATGGGCTGGAATTGTCTCCACCAATTCCAGACGCCTGCCCCAAGTTGGCCAGGAAGGGGAAAGGGAAGGGGATATTTTCACTCATACTATTTTGCTTAACAGATTATATTAATCTTATACTAAATAATAATGGTGCATCATGTATTCTCCATGGGTATTCTCACATTCATACAGGCTGATCACAAAGGAAACTTAAAACCTTTTATCTCATTTCTATAATAAGGAAAAGAGACAAACCTTAATCTTGCTCCCCCGGTTCCCCATCTTAACACAAAACAACACACAGCCCACTGACAAGGGAGACAAGACCGCAAAAGGGAGACACACACAACAAACCACAAACACCAGAGGAACCCAGCCATTATAAAACCAAATTGTCCCAATACTGGAAAATACTTGCAAATTAATCTTTTAACTACTTCAAAACCCAGAAACCCCTCAGGTGGCACACCCCTGCTCCCTCTGGGAGTGGCTGCAGTGGTGGGATGGACCAACAGGTTAGACTGGGCCTCACAGTTGGGCAAAACAGCCCGTTGATCCACGGTTTCTATGTTCATTAAAGTAGCGATGGAAAAATTTGGACAACAACAGTAACCCCCACCAATGTAACATGTGCTTAGACCACTGTTTGTCGCTGAGCTCCCTGCTTAGCCACTAATTGAGAAACAGTTCCCTGAAATCAATTATTTGTTTCAACCTGCCACATTATAATTTCACATCCAAGAAATCAGAGAGCATTTGCTTTATAGCCTTCATTCGTCCCAGCCTGACAGTGGAAGAAGGACCTAAACGGCTTTAATAATGTACATATAGTTGCTGTAGATTTTCCGGGTTGTGTGGCCGTGGTCTTGGCATTGTAGAACCTGACGTTTCACCAGTAACTGTGACTGGCATCCTCAGAGGTATAACACAGAAAGATGGAGGACTCTCTGGGTGCATTCAGACGGGGGATTTACAACGGTTAGGGTGCTGGTTCCAACCGGTGTACTTACGGGCGTTCACACGGCGAACATCTGCCTCCCATCCCTAACCGTTGTAAATCCCTTTAAACCGTTGCACTCTGCCACTAGGTCCCAAGTGGTGGTAAACTGAGTGCAACGGTTGAAAACGGTGCACCCCGGCATCTGATCGCTCTCCAAACGTTGTACAGCCACTTCCGTCGGAAGCCTGAGGCTTCCGGCTTTCCCCCGCCATTTTTTAAAAAAAATAAGCGATATGCGCTCGGGCGAAGCTTTGCCCCGAGCGTTTGTTAACAAAGAAAAAAAGCCCTTACTTTAACTTCCCGGAGCAATCCGGGACTACAGGGAGGCCAGGTTGGGCTTTAAACTTTAAAGGTAAGTCCTTACCTTTAAAGTTTAAATGTAATGGGTGAGGTTTGAGCATGCGCAAAAATCGCCATTCTCTGAATGGCTGCCTATGCGCATGCTCAAACTGTCCTTTAAAAAAAAACACGCCGACGCCCGCAGCGTGTGAGCGGGCGTCCACCGGAGGGATCCGCAAAATGGAGGGTAAGTGTGATCGCGTTTCTGCCAGCATAATCTGCACCGGTTCTGCCGGCAGAAACGCCCCGTCTGAACGCACCCTCTGGTAGGCAGGTAATTTATATCTACTCCAGAAGGTGGGGTATGTACATATGTACATATACATATACATATACATCACATAGCAGATTATTCGGCTGTACTTGCTGTATGTAAATTTTTATGGAACACAACAGAAAAAAACCACCTGTGCTAAACTCCATCAAACGTGAGTACTGTGAGGAGAATTTTAAAGTATTCTCTCTCAAAGACAAGCGGAAGCACTGTGCCCTTATAAGCAATACTTTTCAGCCAGAGATCGAAGAGACAGTGTGATAGAGTGTCAGATTACAACTGAGGAGATCCAGGTTTACATTTTCACTCAGTTATGAAACTCATGGAGTGGACCTGCGCCAGTAATCTGTCCATCAAACTGACCCCAGAGGGTTATTGTGAGGATAGAGGAGAGGAGAACCGTGTATAGTGCCCTAAAGTCCTTGGGGAAAGGGTAGGATAAAAACGTGCAAG